TATAAACTAGAAGTCTAGCTCAAGGGTGTCCTGAGACTCTGCTGGTGCTGGCAGATGTTTCCTGCACTAGGGGAACAGGATTGTTCTGAAGTAAGTCCAAAATCAAGCCTCTGTTCTGAAGGAAGTAATAAGTGATAAAGGGTGAGACTGAAATTATGGGCTGCTAACAACACTCAAAGGCTTCTAGATTTAGCTTATGGGATTATAATGGGCCAGATATTCATGCCAACATATTTCCTGAAGAAAATATCTGTTCTGTATACACTAATGAGAGAGCACTGCAGAACTGCCATGGAAAACCAATGCATATGGAGTACTCTCCTATAGTTCTTAAAGCTAACAGAAAGATTCCAGTGTTTTAATCGTGAATAATCTATCACCCTTCTCTGAAAGGTTGCCTGGCTCTGCTAAGCTTATGAAAAGGAGTAAACCACATGCTCCTAAACTTGCAGCTCTTAATGGGGAGGAAGAAATTCGTAGTTAACATCTGGTCTATTTCCAACCACCATTAATCATGATTCAGTCATTAATTCACTAGTTCAATGCCTTCTTCAGAACATATAGTAAGTTGGTATGAATATTGGAAGGTAACACAGGTTGGTGGAGTACATTTCAGATTCAGTGAAAAGTGGTACAGAGAAAAATTGCTCACAGAACTTCATCACTAGATTTCAAAGGAAATATCAACACTAACTGGACTTTTTCTGCCCAATTGTAGTGCTGTTAGGGCTAAAAAATATTTTCCACAAGGAAATGAATACCCAAAGGAGTACCCAAATAAGGGTTTGGGACTTCAGTTTCAACCAAATTCTCCCACATTTACACCAATGGTAGTAATCTATTCTTCTGTATAATGCTGGTTTTTTTCAGATGATTCAATATGTAGACTATCTAGACCAGCCAAGAGTTTTGGCATTTCCACATAGTTTCTGCCAAAATGCTGCTTCTTACCTCTGTATGACATTTTTCAGGCAAGACAACATTTAAAAGTGTTGGCCTTTAAGTATAGATAGGGATATTAAAGAGCAATAGTGGCTAGATAACGTATCAACAACAGTGTGAAGAGATCTGCCTTCAGGATATTATTTCTGTACATAGAGCATTAGTGTTCATAATATTGTGCAATCCATGACTGAGAAACTCTCACCTCAGTGGTCGGTTTTTGATGTCTCAATGAGGCATGAAGACAGAAAATCCCATGGTGGTTACTAGTAGACATTGATTCATTTCACGGGTCTCAAGAGGGCAAAGACCAAGCTTAATAACCTGAGATGTGAACATTTTGAAAAGTCTAATGTGGAGCTGGGGGTCCTATTTGAGCTCCTGACGCTTACTCAGCTGAAAGTTGTTTACTTCGTGAAAATTTCTAAGGCCAAAAATAACAGAATTCTGTTCCTTTTTGGAAATCCTCACTCCCTACTCCATTCTTGAATTCAGGAATTCAAGATGGTAAATCAAATGCCCTATCTAACCTCTACTCTCTCTTTTCTTTCCCCTTGTTCCAACAGAAGTATGTCACTGAAGGTGAATCATACGTTCTGTGTTGAGGTAGTTTACTGTGTTTCATTACAGAAAAGGGTGATGCCATGAACGATGCCCCACTCCTAGTTTGGCTCGAGTTCTGGGCGCAGGACAATGGCTCTCTCCTCCAGAGAGTTCAATGGAATATGGGTTGTGAATCCGAGCTGTAACAGTTTAACCTAAGATTGTCAAAAGGAATAGAACTTTTTGGTTTGGAAATCAGAAAATGGTCAGTATTTGATGTCTAAATTTGCTCCTACTCCTCACACCTTTTTTTATTTTGTTGCTTCAGAATGTATTTATAAACTAGACTGCTTTGCTACAGTGTTTTGATGCAAGAAGGAATTAGGTAAGTGCATAGAAATGTAAGGAAGCTATAGAGGAGGCAAAGATTTTTCTGAACAAAAGTGGCATTGGAAAGTGTTTAGGATTATGCCTAGAGTGTTTAAATGAAATTTAGGGGCAGTGGAATGACTGACATCAAAGAAGACAGAAAAATATAATTCCCTTCCCATGGGAAGAAATGTAATTTCAGCACTAAGGACAAACAAACAGTTGGGACAAGCAGTTGAAATAAAATTGAACTGAGTTTATTTTTCAAAGAAAATCATGGGTTTAGAAATGTTGAAAATGCTGCCTTCAGTTTTAGGTTTGACCTTGCTCTTGGCATATCCTTTTCCCACAAAAACCAGTGGTGCCCCATGGCTCATGGAGGCTCATGGCTGCCCCTTGCCACCCGATGTCCTAGAGGACTATAGGGACACGTGAGCGGCTGCCAGGCAGGGTTGTGCAGCACATCTCAGCAAATCTCCCATGGTATATTGCAGGCAACAGCCATCATGTCAGCTCATAACAAAATGTTGTGGGCCTTCTGCACTTTGTTTTGTGTCTTCTGTGGAAAATTCCACTGGAAGTGATCCATTTTTTATGGAATGGATGTTTGTAATGTTGAAACAGACTCATTTTTGATAAGAGAAGATATGGGGGTGGAGAGATGCTCTGCTCAAATTATTTCAACTAACTCTACGTAGCAGAAGATTGACTCATCTAACTCAGTCTAAAAAGTATGGATTTGCTATATTTGTTTTTAAATAGTTTCAGGGGTTTAATCCCACTAATGAATGAGGAATAAAAATGAGCTTGCTTTTATTTTTCATCCAAAACTAACAGGCAAACATACTTTTGAAAATTGTGAGTTATACTGCTGGACTGCTTTGATTTTTTTTTTTTATTGCTTTGTTCCAAAACCATGCGCTGCCAGTTAATTAAATGACTTACACTGGAAGGACTCAGCATAGCATTTTAAATGCTTCAAGGTGATCAAATGTTCCAGGTTGATCCATGTTAATTTTTTCAGTGTGTCCTGCTTTTCTGAAAAATCCACAAATGTTTTGGGTCCAAACAATGTTAATGCAGTTCTAATGATTATAATTTAACAATTTGTAATGTATTTAAGAAAACAGAGCTTATCAACTTTTATGAGGCTTCAACTTCTCTGGAACAAAAGACCTTAAGCCACACCTGGAAATGAGTTTCCTAAATCTCTTGGATAACTCATAAAATCTTACTTTTTTGAGTATATTTCCTGCAAGGCAGGCTGATGGTTATGCATACTCTATTAGAAATGAATGGCTGATCAGAGCAGGCACAGCTGCAGCAGTGGCATATTAACTCTTCCCCAAAGACCCAAATACCAGATCTTCTACTCCTGATCACATCAGGCCACACAGTGCAAGGGTCATTTATCCTGCCTGGTGACTGACTGAGCAAATGATGTGAAATGATCCATCCCTGCAGCTCTGACCTCATGGTACTATAAGGGCCCAAAAGGAGATGGAGTTCACTGAGACAACTCTTCGAAGTTTATTTCAGATGTGGTGGAGTGTAATGTTTTCTGTTTGGGATTTTATTATCTAATCTGTAACATACTATGTTAAAAACAAACACTCGTCATCTGTTTCCAGACACAGAAATAGTCCTAGATTCCCTCCACCTTTGTACAAAGCATTCCAGTCACAAACAGTGTTTTTTCACTATCCCCGATGTCCTGTTTAGGATGAAGAATGACTCTCTGTTTGGCCTGGATAGGGTTATTTACAAGTGTTTGTAAAATGTCTAGGACTGAGAAGGAAAGGGCAGGCGTGGGGGGGAAACAACCAAAGGGACTGAAGGTGGGAGAGGACCACTAGCAGTTGTTTGTTATATTTAAAATAAAAATCCATACTGGTGCTGCTTTAAAAAATAAACCCACATTTTATTGCCTGCACTTGGGTCCAGCATGGACTATTTTAGCCAGAGGGCTGCAGTGAAAGGTGGAATGTTTTCCACTGATAACATGCAGGGTCTCACTGCAGTACTGGCAGATAAGGCCTCTGAGGCTTGGCATGGCCGAGACATCCAGAGAAAAGCATGTGTCTTTTGTGTTTCATTTGAGTTTCCTTGTGTGAAATCTGTAAAATATCAGCCAGGTCTAGACAGTTCTGTGCCAGCTGTTGGTGTGAGGAGAGCCTGACACCTTCCCATGCATGAAGATCTCTTGTAGGGTGCAAGGCCCCTGCTCTCTTCCCATAGTCTGCCATGAGGCAGTAGGGTGGCAAAGAGATTGACTGTGCCCTGTGTCAGGGCCAGCCCCAGCCTAGCTACCTGGCCATGGCTTGTAACCCTTCGGCCAGGCAGACCAGAGCCAGCCTGAAATCCTGTATCTTTCTTTCCTCACTGCTACACCTTTTAACATCCTCCCAGGCAAAAATGTTGACTTGAAACACTTCATCCTCCAAAGTTTCTTGGCTTTCATGCAGAAATGTGCACTTGCTTTTCACTTCAGAATGCTATCTGAAAATAAACACAGCTTCTAGGTCTGCTTAATCAAGAAGTCCACTGCTGTTATTTATTTACACAGTTTTGGGGCCAGACCAATCATGAAACTCCCTGTTGCGTGTGGTTTTAAGGGGCCTTCCAGTCTTTCTGCAACATTTCTGTGTGCTTAGTTCTCTCTGCTTCCTCTGAACAAATGCTTTTCCAGAGACCTTGCTGTCTTCATTTCACTTTCTAGGAAATAGCAGATGTGTTTATGCAAGCTGGATTTTTCCCACCTTGGTACTTTTGTACTCCTTAGCCTCTTCAGGTGATAAAGAGGAAGAAAGAAGTGGGAGTTGAGAAAGGAGGAAAGGTAAAATCCTGCCTGTTCCAGTTATCTTTATCTTTAGATACGCTTTATCTGAGCTCTAGATAAAGCACAACTTCAGACATGAAACCAGGAATCATAGAATTGTTAAGGTTGGAAAAGACCTCTGCAATCATCCAGTCTAACCCTCACTCCTTCCCTGTCTGCCCACTGTAGAGGAGCTGTTCGGTCACAGCTTGAACTGGTGATTGAGCAGCTGGTGAAGGGATGTGGTTGGTCCAGGGAGCACAGGCAAATTGTTATCACTTGTGGTGCTCACCTGACCAGGAGGAGTGGACTCAGTGTGGATCCACTCTGAGCTTGCCACTGAAGGGAGAGAATCTCTTGAACTTAGTCTTCATGTTGAGATGGAGTGCTGTATAGGCAGAGAACTCCTTCACAAAGTGGGTGAGTACAGCTTTTCTAGACTTGGATCCAGCATATTATGGAGCATGTTAAGTGTTAGTCATAAATTATGATTTGACTGGTTTTCCAATATATAGAACCTTTTTGCAATTTATGTCTAGAAAATTTAGTCTACCTAATATTCAGTATCCTGCAAGATATTCTGCTTTCAGTGAGGCTGTAGTTTGCAGTCACACACTCTTGAGCAACTCCAGTGTTACGCAGACCCCACTCTGGAGCTGAGTCTGTGCATCAGGCAGGGGCTCAGGCTGGTGCCAGGCAGCACTTTATGAGGCTTGGACACTTCACATAAAAATACTCTAACATCCAAATATCCTTCCTAGTTTTCAGCTCCTTGATTGGTAGGATATTCTTACCTTTCTGGCAGAGCACAAGGATGCTTGCCTTGTTTCCATTTGATTTCTCCTGAGTGCTGATATCTGCTAAACAGATCAGGAGGATATTTCTGTTCAAAGTACAATCCTGCCTACTCTCTCTCAGTTGTGATGTCTTGCTGCCCCTATCTCACTACTGTTTAGAAATGTGCAGGGGAGAGAATTTCTGCTTTTTTTTAATTCCTATTATTCCTTTGAACAGAGAGCTTATGATCATAGGCAGCATGTAGGCCTAGTGAGGAGAAAATACAGCACTAATGTTGCTATGGAAAGCTGCAGCAGTTCAAGAAGGGCAAGCTGCAGAATGGATTGAGCTGTACCTGTTATAAACCTCCTACAATTTTACCAAGGGCTTCTGGTAGATTTCCAGATACTTACATTGGTCAAATGTACTTAATGTGCAAGATAAAGAAATAATGTCAAGAGTTTTGTGCGTGTGGTCTGATTGAGGAACACTGTTCTCAGAGTTATTTAATTTGTAGAGTGGAAAAACAGATTGTGGGTCAGAGTGTTTTATTTTATAATCTACTACTCAGTAAGGAAACAAAATACCTGTGGGGCCCTAATTAGCATGTAGTTGCATCACTTGGAGACTGCAGTATGCAAGCTGTGGGAATAAAATGTTTCAACTTCAGCACTGAGGAGAAGTTCCCATCCAGGAGAAGCACCTGAGCTGTAGCTGCAGCTGGACACCTCTGAGGCTATGCACATCCTTGGCTCTCTATTATTAAAAATACTCTTCGGAGCATTTTAGTTTGGATTTGTTGCATCACATATTGAATCAATAAACCTTGCTTGATGAGCAAGCAGGTTGATAAAATTCACATCTTGTTTGGGGCTAATCCACTTCTACTGAGTTGCTGCAGCATCATGAATCTGTGCGGAGCATACAACTTCTGTGATGCACAAAGGCTGTCTTTAACCAAAAGAGAGAAACGCTGGGTTGTTCACTCCAGGATAGTGGTCTTGCCAGATGCTTAAAGGAAGATGGATTGTAAGACTGAGTCTAAGGATGATAACATTTCCTTTGACTGGAGTAGAAGTGCAGGGAATTTCAGTCCCTGGCTATGCTACTGGTTGGAAATTGGTTGTCAGCCAATGCCATCCACATTTTGTTTTTGGTTCTATGATTCGAAACTAGCTTATGGATACTTCATTTCCAAGTTTCCTTTCAGTGTTTTTGTGATAAAACTTCGTTATTGGACACCAGAGCTGCATTTGTGAACAGCACTGCAGGGACAGGAGTTAAAAAAGAAAAAGAAAAAACAAACAAACAAACAAAAACCTGGGACTAAAGAATTAGGAAAGCAAAATAAATATTTCTGATGTTCTTGGAACTCTTGCAGGATTGCAGCATCTTTGGGAGAGGTGGAAGCAGCTCTGATACTCTCTGTTAGGCAGCTCCAGCCATTCCCTTGCCTTAGGTCTGCCACTGACAGCATCAACCAGCAGCACCAATCTGTATCTGGCAGGAAGGCTAGGTATGGGAATTCAGCATTTGTAATCAAGTAAAGTTGCTGCAAGGACTAAAGAATGAGGTCTGTTTGTCTTTGAAATGAGGAAATTCAAACACTTCTAGATGTTCTATACGAGCACTTATGAATGCTTCCATGGGATCTGGTGTTGAAGTGTTACCTCAGACACCACCCATGAGTAAGAGTTCATTCAACAGGCACAAAAAATTATTTATGCCTCCACAGTGGAGTGATGTAGCCAGATGTAACGTACAGTGAAACTGTTGGGCTACAGTACCCACTGGTGCTCAAGGCACTGCCTAGCAGGGACTACAGGATCCTGGGCATGGCAGGTGACTGAGCTGCAGCCTCTGTGGTGCTACAGCAAAATTATGGTACTGCTGAGCATGGGAGAGCAAAGGAGCAGGAAGTGTGAAGTGCCTTGAGCTGGAGTCTGTCCACAGTGCTATGCAGAGTGTTGCTTCACTTGCAGAAGTTGCCACGGTATTTTAATAACTGTGAGCGATTTAATGGCTCATCTGGAAAATGGCAGCACTGGTACAGCTTAGGTTCATGCCACAAGCATCACTGCCTTTGACTTTCTTTTGGAAATTAGTTATTATGTGCCTTCCTTTATACTAGCATAGTCACACATGTTGGCAGATCTGTCCTTCTGTGTTCCTGGGTTGCAATTTTTCTCTCTCCAGTCTGAAATATTCTTCACTGACAGCATGGGACCAGGGTAGGCGTGCTGAGAAAATATGTTCCTCTGCAGGACACACTTTTATCTCTCTTCTTAGACAAATCCTTCTCTGTCCTTCTCCTTTGTCTGTCATTTGGCTCTTGTGAAGGCAGAAGCATCTATTTCAATTCAGCAGGAACATCTGTTCTCACATCTTTCTATGTACAGTGGCATAGAAAAAGATGACTGCTCATATGGCTTTTGCAATTGCATGTAGGAGGTCTTCAAAAGGTTCTGTCCCAGTGTCCAAAGCCCAGTTGATGCCTTCTGGTCAATGTTGTTTCTCTGCTCTATTTCAAAACGTTTATTCTTCAGGCTGGTACAGACTGTACTGGAGAATCCAATTTCAAAATGCTTCCCTTGTAACTGTTATAGTTGTTTTGTTGTCCTTTCCTCTAATTCTTCTTTCCTTTTTTTGGGTCTATCAAGAGACTTGGGAAACAATAAATAAAATTGCTGTTTGAGTTTATCTTAGGAGAATATAGGATGTTGGCTTAAGGAACTTTTTTGATTATCTTGGCTAGCCTTGGACATTTCCTTTGGTGCATTTATAATTGCTTTGAGAAACATGTTTGTAAAGAGCTTCTAATATTGTAGATTCAACTACTTGATTTCAGACACATAGCTGAATTCTGCCCCCTGTCTTACTGGAATTGCCCCAGCATAACAGAAGTGTAATTTGTCCTACAGCTCGCAGGTATTTCATTTCTTCATTATAACTCACATATTGCTTTCAGGATATTTGTGTCTTGGATGAAATTTTAAACTTCTGGGGGAGGTAATAAGAGGGAGAAAAGGGGACTACATAATATATCTAACAAATATGTGACATCTAGTTTAAAAATCTGTTGTTTTCTTTCAATAAATGAGGAAAAAACAATGCAGTCATATTCCCTCATTCCCCAGGACATTGGCATGAATCCTGGATCCACTGAAGTGTATAGGGAGATATTAATTAATTAACTTCAAATACCAGATTAACTCATAGTTTCAGTATATCTCCATTCTAATGTGGATATAAAAAGAACTTGGATTAATGATCACAACTTTGTTCAGGTATTTGAGGGCTCTTAATAGTGACAGTTCTTTCTGCAATTTGATATCATCAACATATAAGGTGACATCAAAGTCAGTGCCTGGAATTCATTATTGTTACAGCACATTAAGCCTGCAGGCTGCAACGTTGGCCCTGTTAAGTCACTTGCAGTTTAATCACAGATTTCAGAAGCACCTAGATTTCATTCTAATGCTGCTGTTGATAATCTGTTAAAAAAAAAAAAATAAATAAATAAATAAATAAAAATATATATATATATACACACCACACAGGAAAAACAAAAAATTCTACGTGACCAAAGGCTTCTACGTGCACTAAGGAGCTTGTGGAGTTAAGCAGAAGGCAGTGTCTTGTCTTCAGCATTGATCCAGAGCTGAAGGAAAGGAGCAGGTGAGCCTGGTCACAGATAAGAAGGGCAGATGTGGCTGCAGGGAATTGTCATTTTGTATAAACTATTTTTTCCACTCTCCAGACTTCAAAGAGTAGGTCATACTAGTTTGCTGTCTCTCAAATAAAGCTTATCTAAGGATGTTTTTGCAATTTCAGACCCATAGAACGTGCAATGGGACAAGTTTGGATTTCTTTATTGCTGTAAATCCAGTATTTCTATAGCTAGCTTCATACTTAACTCAAGCTATAGTTCAGATCTTCCAACTAACTCATGCTTCCAAGATGAGGGACATGATCTAGCCCTAAGAACAGAAAGACAATAAGTGCTATCTATTAACAGGCAAACCACAACACAGTCTTATCCAGCCTAGTCACACACTTTGTCTGAGCCAGGTCTGCCCGCAGAAGCCCTGGCTCTGCTTTCTCCACTCAGGCCATCAGATGAAAAGTAGTTGAAATTGTGGTAAGCCTGCATTGTGCAACTGGATCACGTTACATCATCAAGTGAGGAGTCCCTCTGTGGCCACAGACTGGGAAAGAATGTTCAACATCAGGTCAGTCTCTTCCGAGGCTCCTAACAGTGACTTTTCTGTGTTCTGTTCTTTGGATCTAAAGTGTTAATATTTAGTGGCAAAACCTGTCAGACCTCCTGGTCCCAGCAGATTTGTTCCACTAAAGATTGATCTGGTTCAGCATCTTGGATCATCGCAGTGATACAGGCAATGAGGTGGCCTTACTTGAGCAACCCTGAAAAAGCTCAGACAAAGACAAGGCTCAAAATCTTTTACATCAGTGTTGTCACTGAAGATGGAGTCTTAGGTTTTGTAATTGCAGCATCAGGAAGGCAGGTCTTGCATGCAGCAGATGCAGTTCTGTAAAAATGGTGCAGCTTTGGCAGTTGGTAATTCATAGAATCAGAGAATTGTTTGAATTGAAAGGGACCTTTAAAAAGATCATTTGTCCCC